AGATAAGAAAGACAGAGATAAAGAGAGATAGACATAGAAAGACACAGAGAAATAAAGACTAAAACAGAGAGACAGAGAGACAGGACCAACAGACAAAATGGAAGCCTACAAAGAAGCCTAGAAGCATAAGAGAGACACCGAGAGAGACGCAGTGAGAGACAGAAGAGAAGAAACCCCTCCCAACAAGACCAATAGCCGTGATGGAAGCCTCGTAACAAGCATGAACACCGCGTCACAACTTCTTCGTCACCACAAACTTGCTGCCAACTTGTAAGAGCACCACAACTCGTTTGCCTCCGCGTGCTGAGGAAGCTGCTGCTGCCTTCAGGAAATTACTTCTGCGCCGCCAACAGGAATGGGAATCGGGAAACTACATTGATATCTAGGCAGGGGGGCATCGGGAGTTACTGGAACGGGAATGGTATTTGATAGTACTGGAACGGGAGTGGGAATCTGATAGTACTGGAACGGGAATCGGGAATGACTAACAGAAGTGGGAATCTGATGTTACGGTAATGGGAATCTGGAATTACTGAAACGGGAGTGGGAATCTGATAGTACTGCAACGGGAATGTGAATCGGGAATTTGCTTGAACGAGAGTAGGAATTTGATTGTATTGGAATGGGAATAGGAATCACAAGAACAAGATTAGTAATAGGGAAAATTCTTGGAATAGGAATGTGAATCGGGAATACTGAAGCGGGCGAACGGGAATGGGAATTAATGAGGGATTTACATGATATTGGCAAGGTAATGACTGGAACGCTGTGAGTAGGAATGGGAATGAAAATAGAATTAGGAATGAAGGTGGGAATAATAGTGGAAATTAAAACCGGAATTTGAATTGAAATGGGAATGGGAATTGAAGTGATAATGGGAATCGGGAATCTGTATTGGTTTCGATGAGTTGGAATGGGAACACTAACAAGACATTGAAGAGTTAAATGAAAATAAGAAAGATAGGAAATAAGAGAGAGAGAAGATCCACACACACTCAGCCTTGTAATAACTCCACTAAGCCATACAAAAGTAATACTCAAGATATCCTAAGTACTCATCCTCGTATACGTGACATGTGCTACCTAGAGATAATGCACCTAGTTAAGTGGAGTTTACTCTCTCTCTCTCTCTCCCCTCTCTCTCTCTCTCTCTCTCTCTCTCTCTCTCTCCACACCTCTGGCCCCCTGGTGTCACCTTTTACCTCACCTGGTGGAAAATTTATACCTGGTACGTAAGCCCAAGTGTTAGGGAGTTCTCATATATATCTCTCTATCTCTCTCTTGGGTGTACTACAGACCATGTGTGTGTGTGTGTGTGTGTGTGTGTGTGTGTGTGTTTTACCTGATCTCTCCCAATGGGTAGAGGTGTGTACTTCTCTCTCTCTCTCTCTCTCTCTCTCTCTCTTAGGGGATATCTCTCTATCTCTCTATCTCTCTTTTTTGGGCCCCATGAGAGAGATATTTCCTACTAGATTTATTACCCGGCATAGCAAGGGTTAAGTATACAGTATGTTATATAACCGTGAATGTCATAGTTTTGGTCTTCCCGACATGAGTAACCCCCTCAACCTAACCTAACCGCCTCAACCTAACCTAACCTAGCAAAACTAACCTAACCTAACCTAACCTAACCTAACCCCTAACCTAACCCAACCTAACGATAATCCTGACCTAACCTAACGATAACCTAACCTAACCTGACCAAACCTAACCTAATCTGATCTAACGATAACCTAACCTAACCTAACCTAACCTAACCTAACCTAATCTAAATTCACGATACCTTCCCTATTAATTCACGTTCCAATCCCTACGTTCCAATCCCTGTTAATTCACGTCCCAAGCCCTACGTTCCAATCCCTGTTAATTCCCGTTCCAATCCTACGTTCCAATCCCTATTAATTCACGTTCCAATCCTATTAATTCACGTTCCAACCACTATTAGTTCGTTCCAACCTATTAATTCACGTTCCAATCCTACGTTCCAATCCCTGTTAATTCACGTTCCAATCCTACGTTCCAATCCTGTTAATTCGTTCCAATCCCTACGTTCCAATCCCTATTAATTCACGTTCCAATCCTATTAATTCACGTTCCAACCTATTAATTCACGTTCCAATCCCTACGTTCCAATCCCTATTAATTCGTTCCAACCCCTATTAATTCGTTCAATCCTACGTTCCAATCCTATTAATTCACGTCCCAAGCCTACGTTCAACCTATTAGTTCACGTTCCAATCCCTATTAATTCACGTTCCAATCCCACGTTCCAATCCCTGTTAATTCACGTTCAATCCCTACGTTCCAATCCTGTTAATTCGTTCCAATCCCTACGTTCAATCCCTATTAATTCGTTCCAATCCTATTAATTCGTTCCAACCCCTATTAATTCACGTTCCAACTATTAATTCGTTCCAATCCTACGTTCCAATCCTATTAATTCGTTCCAACCCCTATAAATTCACGTTCCAATCCCTATTAATTCACGTTTCAATCCTACGTTCCAATCCTAATTCACGTTTCAAATCCCTACGTTCCAATCCCTATTAATTCGTTAATCCTACGTTCCAATCCTATTAATTCGTCCCAGCCCTACGTTCCAACTACTATTAGTTCACGTTCCAATCCCTATTAATTCGTTCCAAGCCCTACGTTCCAATCCTATTAATTCGTTCCATCCCTTAATTCACGTTCCAACCACTATTAATTCACGTCCCAATCCCTACGTTCCAATCCTATTAATTCACGTTCCAATCCTATTAATTCACGTTCCAATCCCTATTAATTCACGTTTCAATCCTATTAATTCACGTTCCAACCCTATTAATTCACGTCCCAATCCTAATCCCTATTAATTACGTTCCAATCCTATTAATTCACGTCCCAAGCCTACGTTCCAACTACTATTAGTTCACATTCAATCCCTATTAATTCACGTTCAAATCTACGTTCCAATCCCTGTTAATTCCGTCAATTATTATTAATTCACGTTCCAACCCCTATTAATTCACGTTCCAATCCTACTTCATTCTACGTTCAACCCTATTCTTCCGTTCCAATCCTATTAATTCACGTTCCAGCCCTGAACCAACCCTATTAATTCACGTTCCAAACCCTATTAATTCACGTTTAATCCTACGTTCCAATCCTATTAATTCACGTTCCAATCCCTACGTTCCAATCCTATTAATTCAGTTCCAACCATTTCACATTAGTAGCCTGAGCCCTGCGTGCCAGGGGTCTGGTCTGAAATATATTACTTCAAGGTTGAGTTTATGTGGCATCCGGTAGTAGTTCTTGTTGTGAGTGAGGAGGGAGTGGGAGGGGGAAGAAAGAGGAGGAGGAAGAAAGAGGAAGGAGGAAGGAAAAGAGGGAGGAAGGAAAGAGAGGGGGAAGGAAAGAAGAGGAGGGGGGAAGGAGAAAGAAGAGGAGAAGGAAAGGGAGGAAGAAGAGGAGGGGGAAGGAGGAGGAAAGAGAGGGGGGAGGAAGGAAAGAGGGAGGGGAAGAGGAGGAGGAGGAAGGAAGAGGAAGGAAAAGAAGGAAAGAGGAGGAAGAAGAGAGGAGGGAAGAAGAGGAGGGAAGGAAAGAGGGAGGAAGGAAAGAAGGGGAGAAGGAAAGAGAGGGAAAGGAAAAGAGAGGAGGAAGGAAAGAAGGGAGGAAGAGGAGGGGGAAGAAGGGAAGAGGAAGGAGGAAGGGAAAGAGGAGGGTGGAGTGGAGGTGGGGAGGAACGGAGGCAAAAGACCAGAGGGTGAGAGTGGAGAAGGAGGAAGAGGAAAGAAAGATAATAATAATAATTCAGAATAATTTAAGTAGACGAAGAGATAAAATAGACAGAAGAAGGTGAAGAATAATAATTAAAATAAGAACGAAAGAGACTTATGTAATAAACAATAAAATTATTACAAAACGCGAGAAGGAAAGAGAATATAAGAGGCTGACGATAAATCTCTAAAGAAAGAAATTGATATAAAATGTGTAAGAAATGAGGTGATGAAGGAAGAGTCACAGAGAGACGAATGATAAACGTAGGAACAACGAGGAGGAAGAGGAAAGATTAATGATGGTAACTTGGGTTCAAATTTTCTCCCTGGGATCACGGTTTGAATCTCACTTTATAGAAAACGATATCTGAACCTAACCTAACCTAACTTAACTTAAACTAACCTAATGCTAATCTAACCTAACCAAAACAAACCTTAACCAAACCCAGTCAAACCTAACCTAATTCCACGCTTGACCACACCAGCTCAGAGCCAGGCTAGCAGGTTATATACCCCATTAACTCTCCGGCCGTGAACGTCTAGCGAGGCAGATATGCAGAAGTTATTAACCTAACATTAACCTAACACAGTTGATTTAGTCAGTAAAATAAAACATTACAGAAGTTAAAGAAATAGATTGTATTTATTTTTAATGCATGGAACTATTTTATACATAGTTTACAGTATATATATATATATATATATATATATATATATATATATATATATATATATATATATATATATATATATATATATATATATATATACTCATATGAACTGTAATATGACTTAAAGTAAATACAGTAACGATACTTCTACTGTAGTGGTGCTGTAGGTGTTGACGTTAAATCTAGGAGAGAGAGAGAGAGAGAGAGAGAGAGAGAGGTTCTAAACACACACACACACACACACACAATATACATATACAACACACACACAAACACACACACACACACACACACACGCGCGCGCGCGCGCGCGCAGTCCGCCACTTCAACAAAATTCAGCCCATAAGAGCCCGCACCGATAGATATAAGAACAGCACCATCCCATCTATTGTTAAAATAATAAACAACTCCTGATTTATGCACTGTACAGCCCTGTAAATGTATTCAATGCATATTATATCATTATGTCTACATCAAATGTAAGTCTGTAAATTTTCAGCCACCGGCTGCAACTCTATTAATAAACCGTTTATTATTATTATTATTATTATTATTAGTAGTAGTAGTAGTAGTAGTAGTAGTATTATTATTACATACACACGCATACACACACGCATACAGGGTATATATACATAAATTAGTATGAATCTATTTTCAGTACATTTACCTGACGTTAATGATCTGCGAGGAAAAAGTTGGTTACCTGTCAGGTGTTATGACCAGGTGTTACTTGTTGAAGACTCATCAAGCTTCTTACCTGATGACTCTAACGTGTACATCTACAAGACCACCTCATGTACACGGCAGGTTTGATGGCGTGTGTAGGTTCTGGGATGTACACATGCTGTAATTCTAATTATGTTGCCAGGTGATGCGGTCTAAACACACCTGTGTACACCAACATTCATTAATTTTTTGGGAAGGACACACACACACACACACACACACACACACACACACAGCTTCAATGATATTACCTGTTAATTGACATCTTATAAAATTCCTAAGTTTAATGTAAGGTCACAGGTCATGTGGATAGGAGCGAATGACCTTAAGGACAAAGGTCAAGAGCAGGCAGAAGCAGTGGTCAGGAGGACGAAAAAGCCATGTACTCAGTAATGGTCAGGAGAAGTCAAGTCCTTCAAGAGGGTTCCTACAGCGTCCTACACTACTCCACCAGCCGCGGATGTTCTGTTGTGTGACCACCGTGGTGTCGCTGTGAGCCTTTTGACATAGTTCACAGAGGGGCGGCCTCAATGTGGCCATCCAGTACCCCCTCCACAGGTGGTATCGAGCGTAACTCTCTGGGGATTGCTGGAGATCCTGTAAGACACGAGCGAGATGTCCCGGCGAGAGGGCGAGGGCGTCGATGTAGGAGTGTGGAGGCAGGTAAGACGAGTAGTTGGCCCCGCCCAGGACGATAGGCACCACACCATGGATCAGAGGCGTCCACAGCTTCTCGGTGATGTACGCGTCACAGGCGGCGTTCTCGAAGGCCAGGTAGAAGAGATACCTGGGGGCTAACACCTGCCTCCAGCAGCGGTCGTCTCGGTGTTTATTTCGTCTGCCACACCTGCCGGAGAGACCAGTGTTGTGTGTGTCACAGATGAGGGAGACGTTCTACCTAACCTAACCTAACCTAACCTGACCAAAGGCAAGTCACACCCAACCGAACCAAGCCAAACATAACCTAAATTAACATAAACGAACTTAAGTTAATCTAACGTAAATATATTAAAATACTTTTTAATTAAAGTATAGAAAGATTAGGTTGAGTTAAGTTAAATTAGGTCATGTTGTGCTAGTTTAGGTTAAGTTTGGTTAGGTTAGTTTAGGTAAGGTTATGTTAGTTTAGTTTACAGTAGGTTAAGTTAAGTTAGTTTAGGATAAGCTATGTTTGGTTAGGTTAAGTTAGGTTAGGTTAATTTAGGGTAGACGAAGTAAGCTGACATTCTTTAACTCTTTAGTAGGCACACCGCATTTAGACACCTCAATCAGACTGATACCAGACGAGTTTACTGAGCAGAGACACACTCCTGGCAACCTGTGTGTGTGTGTGTGTGTGTGTGTGTGTGTGTGTGTGTGTGTGTGTGTGTGACAGATTCAGGATAGTGACCCATTTCTTCCTCCTTCTTCCTCCTCCTCCTCCTCCTCCTCCTCCTCCTAATGGAAGTTGTACAAAGTGGCAAAGTTTGACCGGGAAAAACGACCTGTTTGATGTTAGGTGAGTCATTGTCACCCTCACTATCATCACCATCACACACACACACACGCGCACACACACGCACACACACACACACACACACACACACACACACACTTACCTCAACGTGCCGCAAGAGCCATACACATCAACGTTCACATATTGCCGCAGGTCCTTCACATAGTCTTCTCGATGTGAAGGCGCGTGGCAGTGAGAGGACATCCACGCCACTAGTCTAGGTCTCCATAAGAACGCCTCCCACGCCTCTCCCACGCCCGCTGAAAAAGAAGCATTGTAAGATATATATATAGACCATTACGGAACGTGTTATACCTCCACGCCCTCCACCACGCCCCCACGTCCCCACCACGCCCCCACCCCGCCCCCACCACGCTCCTCCACCACGCCCCCCTACCACGCCCCCCACGTCCCCACCACGCCCCCCACCACGCCCCCCCACCACGCCTCACCACGCCTCCACCACGCCCCCACGCCCTCCACTACGCCTCCTCCACCACGCCTCACGTCCCCACCTCGCCCCCACCACGCCCCCCACCACGCTCCCCACCACGCCCCCACCACGCCCCCCACCACGCTCCCCCACCACGCCCTCCCCCCACCACGCCCCCACCACGCCCCCACCACGCCCCCACCACGCACCCCACGCCTACTATGTCTCAACCTCAACTGGCCACCAGAAAGCTGTTAATTTTACTTATACTGTAAGAAAAAATGGGAAGGGAAGGTAAAGAGAAGAGGGAGGGAGGGAGATAAGGAAGGAAGTAGGGAAGGAGGCGGGGAGAAGAGGAAAGGGGGGGAAGGAGAGAAAAGGGGGAAGGAGAGAAAAGAGAGAAGGGGGAGGAAGGAGAGAAAGAGGAAGGGAAGGGAAGGATGGACAAAAGAGACAGGAAGGAGGGAGAGAGGAGAGACGGAGAGGGAGGAGAGGAGAGAGAGCAGGAGAAAGGAGAGAGAGATAAGGGAGGAGGAGGAGTAGGAGAAGGAGAAAGGAGAGAGATAAGGGAGGAGGGGAGGTAGAGAAGGAGGAAAGGAGAGAGATAAGGGAGGGAGGTAGAGAAGGGGGAAAGGAGAAAGATAAGGAGGGGAGGAGGTAGAGCAGGGAGGAAAGGAGAAAGATAAGGGAGGAGGGAGGTAGAGAAGGGAGGAAAGGAGAGAGATAAGGGAGGGAGGGAGGTAGAGCAGGGGAGGAAAGGAGAGAGATAAGGGAGGAGGAGGTAGAGAAGGGAGGAAAGGAGAGAGATAAGGGAGGGAGGGAGGTAGAGAGAGGATATAATATTCCTCACGCTGGATCGTTCTGGTATTTTAATTAAAAACGGAAAATATTTCATTTCACTTTGGGTTAAGTCAAGAAAGGTCAGATTGGATTAGGTTAGGTTAGGTTAGGTTAGGTTAGATTAGGTTAGATTAGATTAGGTTAGGTTAGGTTAGGTTAGGTAGTAAGAATATAACTAAGAGAGGGTCGTCACTCACCAGGGTCTCTGTCAACATAAGGCACCCAGGAGGGCCCGGCCACGTCACTCAAGGAGTAGCCTCGAGTCAGAGCTGTCATGTAGGAGCGGTAGACGAGGCTCTCTTGATCGAGGATGGCTGGACGTAAGGAGGAAGAGGAAGAAGAGGAGGAGGAAAAAGAGGAAGAAGAAGAGGAAGAGGAGGAGAAACTAGCAGACGAGTTACCAGTCTCAAAAGGCACCACCGCCATCTCCTCCTCCTCCATATATTCCTCTTCCTCCTCCTCTTCCTCCTCCTCTTCCTCCACCTCTTCCTCCTCCTTGTCCTTCGCTGGCAGAGGTATGAGGGCTCCGTATGGCTCCATGACGTCAGAGGCTGTGTGGTAGGTCATGGTCCAGTTGAAGAGGTCACTCAGGTCACGTCTCCGCCCTGAACCATCTCGCTGGAAGGTCACAGAGAGGTGTGGTGATTAACTTAACTAACCTCGACCCTAAGTGGTGATTTAGGGTAGTTACGAATTTAACCTAACCAACCCTAACTTAATCTAACATAACCTAAGCTAACCTAACTTAATCTAGCTTCTCCTAATCTAAGTTAACTTAATATAACCTAATCAACCTAACCTACATAAACTACCCTAACCTAACCTAATTTAACAGAACCTAATATATATTCATAGATCTTTAGGTTAGGCTAAATAATTTAAGTCTATCTATCTATGTAAAATACCTATATAAAGGGTCGCACGTATCAAAGAAAACGATATTAATTATAGGGGTAACTACAAAAAATGAAGTGGGGTGAGGGCGTGTATCTCTCTCTCTCTCTCTCTCTCTCTCTCTCTCTCTCTCTCTCTCTCTCTCTCTCTCTCTCTCTCTCACACACACCTTGGGCAGTAGCAGCTTGGAGGTGGCGCGGATGGAGGCTGGCGGGGCCTCAATATGAACCCACACCCATCGCTGTCCCGCCACACGCTCCCCTCCAGGCAGGTCCTGTACATTCACCCTCTCTGACTGTTGGGAGAGACAGACAGACAGTAATCACTTAAGAGCGAGTTAACGAAAATGAACTTTAAAGTGGTCATTACTATAAAAGGAACACTCGTATGTAAACTTATTGATAGAAATAATGATGAAACTCTTGAGATATTTACGTTAACTGAAGAGGCGAAGTTGGAGGAGGAGGTGGTGGAGGAGGAGGTGGAAGGAGAGTGGTGGTGGTGATGGAAGTGTTGGTGGAGAAGAAGAAGAAGAACCTCCAACGAATGATAAAGAACTCGTGTTATAAATATAGAACCCTGATATAATAAATTAAAGCGTATTCTATGTTGTTGTTGTTGTGTTCATGTGGCTGCAACAAATAATAAGGTCTTCCAGCACGTAAGTTAAGTCAGTCCAAACGCGACACAACAACCATATAGTGATATAATGTTGTTGTTAAATATTGATTGTATACCAGCACCCTCATGTTTACTTTTTGTATGTGTCTAGGTATATTGTTTGTATACCTGTAATGTCTATGTACTGTACTCAGGGCCGGATTAAGCTTAATGTACAGTACAGTCTGTACTGTACATGTTTCCATACATGCACTGTATACATTGTTTTTATACCTACACTGTGTATATACGCATTTTTTGTATACCTGTAATGTCTATGTACAATCGTCCAACGAGGTGATGTTACGATTTTCAGTATGATTAGTTCAAGCAGCTGTATCAGGCAGGGCCGGATTAAGCTTAATAGGGCCTGAGGCACACACACACACACACACACATATATATATATATATATATATATATATATATATATATATATATATATATATATATATATATATATATATATATATATATATATATATATATATATATATATATATATATATAGCAAGAACGAAATATACCAAAATTTATTAATGATTTCATCAATATTAAGCTTCTGCAAAATAACACATTCAATGTTCATAAGAGACAGAAAATTGAGACGTTGCTAGGACATCGTTGAACGAAGTTCATGTTTTATATGCTTCAACTTCGAGAATGTTTGGATTTGGGGGCCCCTTAGAGTCGGGGGGCCTGAGGCCAGTGCCTCAAGTGCCTCATGGTTAATCCGGCACTGGTATCAGGCAACTTAGCGGGAACCCAGCGAGTAGACCAGCGGGCCAAATTTCTCACTACCTAAAATTTTTCTGGCATTCCCTCATATTTTCGCAGGTAAAAGGCCTCCAGACGGGTATCAAAGGTAAAAGAACTACTGTATATCCCAACCCCATGCTTGAACGACGAAATAAATGTGTGTGTGCAGGAAAATAAAGACGAGTCCTAGATGATACAGCAACATGAGCCGATAACACTTCTAGTGTAGAATATTCTGCATATGTTTCGAAGTTGCTTTATTTTTAGAGCAATATAAAAGGCGTTTGTTACTCTAAAATTATTATTAGATAAATGAGGTTTCATAGAAGTTAGAAATTTAACTAAGTTTGACTTTTTTCATCCGTTGAACGGACATTTTTCAAGTTTTATATTTTATTCTTGGGTGGTAATTAATACAGAACCTTCAGATTATAAATGACAATTAATTTTCTTATAATTACTGGAGGAAAGGGTATCAAGATACGTTTATTTAAGCATATAGTTTATCTTAAACTCTAAATTTTGATTTGTGAATGTTTCCGCCTTACGTCGTCCTCCACCTACAGTAGGTGTTGAGTATATTTTGTTTACATATTCATTAAAGACATGACATAAACGTGGTGAGTATGAGTATTATTTCAATTAATGTTTTCTCGATATTCATTTCAGCTTAACACAATGTATACCTTTTCATTTTCAGGTCCAATTATAACTCCACAAATTATTCCTGAACGTTCCTGTGTGATCTTTTGTCATATTATTTACTGTAGTTTCAAAATATACTAAATTTTAGCTGTGTGATTTTTACCAAAACAATTTGTGACAAACTGCTTTAGCCTTTATAATTTATTTATATTACTATTTCACAGAATTGTGTTCCACCTCGAACAAATAAAAGTGAAAATAAAGCGAGTCTGGTTGTTGCCAGATACCACTTTCTGATTGAAAGTTGCTGGAAATGTGACATTTTGACGACTATAGTCGGCCACAAAACCCGGTAACACAGTGGTTCTCAACCTTGTTTGCCCCATGCACCCCTTTCACCATATGTCAGAATGTCATTCCCCCCCTCCTTTCCAAGATTGTCTGCCTTCAAAAGTGCATTCCAAGTAATATGCATATAATACTGAAAATCCATTATTTTTTCCATATTAGTACATATACATTCCCCCCCCCCCCTGGGGGGAATTCCCCCCTGGTTGAGAACCCCTGCGGTAACATTTCCTTACCTTTCTTAACCGAAGCTGTTGCGACCCTTGTGTCATTATACCGCCATCTATGGTTCAGCTCCCAAACTACAGCTCCAGGTTATGGACGTTGGTTGTGGATCGTTTAACTTACCTCTCTGTATTTGTTGCTGAGCTTATGATTTACAGTTTATTCAGTGTGTTGGTGACCAGTGTCATGGACTCATGGCTACAGAAAATTGTCAAGGCAAACTGTTTTGAGGGTTAATGTTGTGAACTCTTGAAAGAATCAATTAGCTTTGTGACAACAGAGTGTCAGCTCAATGAAGAAGCAACACTGGCGCTGTGGCGCAGGTTCAAGTACAGTCTGGAGCCAGTACTTGCCAAGGTGGGTAAGACTGACCGACCGGCAAATGGCTAGCAGGCTGATCGGTGGGGAAAAGGATCAAGCCCAGTTATACCCTGTCTGTTGCTGGTGTTGAATCTTGAACTACTGTGTTGTTGGTGCTGCCCTGATCAACGCTGCTGGCAGTCTACTCTCAAGTGGTAAGTAAAGACATCTTTGTTTTCATTATAATTGTAATAGAAATAAACTTAAAGATTATAACATGGAGGAAATTATAATATGGGGGGAGGCAGAGGTGAGGGAACAGAGGTGTACTCTGGGCGGTCTGTTATGGTTAATACTGGGTGATAACAGTGTGGCCGGTAAAAGGTATAAAGGAAATGAAGGTAATTGTTAAGGAGACGGTCACCATCTACTGTCTCCGTTACTTTCTTAAGATTTGTTTACGATTTTTTTTTGTGGGGGTAGTGTTTTTTTCCATCGGAGGTGCCCGTTGGGGGGTTAACCGGCTCTCCCATGGATTAGGTTACCTTCATTTCATTATTAAGCCTCATATAATAGCGATGTTTCCCTCAGTACAGTTAATATTTAAGAGCTTCTAGTGCAGCCCCATTCGTTGTCCAGTCACACAGCGAGAATATGGATGACTAGTTCTTTAACTATACTTGTATGTTGGGTCAGTTTATGATAGAGGGCAGGTTTCAATTTTTCGGTGAATTTACAGTAAAGCACCGGTCTTTCTCTCGCTGTTATTTTATATTTCGGAATGTTTACACATTTCTAAGACTTCCTCTATGACATTTCCGCCGGAAATTAAGGATAACCGAGATATTAATTTTCCAATCTTCTGTCTATATAAAATAAAGAAGTCTGTCTGTGTGTCCGCACGAGAATCTCGGAAACTACTTTACCGATCTGTAGTGATGATGGATGATGTTATATGTAGTGATGATGGATGGTGTTATATGTAGTGATGATGGGTGGTGTTATATGTAGTGATGATGGATGGTGTTATATGTAGTGATGATGGATGGTGTTATATGTAGTGATGATGGATGGTGTTATATGTAGTGATGATGGATGGTGTTATATGTAGTGATGATGGATGGTGTTATATGTAGTGATGATGGATGGTGTTATATGTAGTGATGATGGATGGTGTTATATGTAGTGATGATGGATGATGTTATAGATGATGTTATATGTAGTGATGATGGATGATGTTATATGTAGTGATGATGGATGGTGTTATATGTAGTGATGATTAGACAATAAAATAATAGCAGTTTAATGCTAAAAAAATATACTTTTCTGTACCGTTGTAGTGAAAAACATGGTGGAACTTACATACACCGTTAATGAACTAATGGTGGAAGAAGTTGTTTTGGGAACTGAACAGTGAGACAATGTGGAGCCTCCCGGAGGGTGGCATCCTACCGTGGCCTTATGAATGAGCCACCCGGAGGGCAGCGTTTCTGCTAGTAATATTATGTTTGGCAAGTCACCAGTCTCGCCATTTGTTGTTTACGTCTTACGGAGAAGCTCTGAACCCCCCCCCCCCTCACTAGCCCACTAGTGCTCTGTTACCTCCGTGTTCGCTTCTTAATCGTCTACAGCGCTGGCGTGGGAGTTTCTTATTGGCTATAGCGATAGGAGACTTATATTGAGCAAGAGTTATCTGAGCCAATGAACAATGCATGGGTGCGTCGGGAACAGAGATTTGAATTTTCAATACAAGATACGGCTGAACAGGTGGAAGAGCTGTACCGTCATTGTGATAGAGATTATTTTACGTCAATTGCCGAGTTTCATCAGAAAAATAGTGAGGCCATTTAATTTTTTAGAAAATACGGTGTATTACCGAGCAACGTTACTTATCTGAAGTGTAATAATCAGTGTACATTGAGTGAAGAACAACACATTTGGCGGTGTCACCACAGTTTTCTTCAACCGAACAGTAAGAAACGGTGTTTGTTACCCTGGTTAGGTTAGGTTGGCTGGTTTGTATTTTATTTGTGATTTAACAAGAGAAAAAAAATCCTTAAGATTGTTGTGTGTGTTGGGGAGGGGGGTTGTAAAAAATTATTTCCGGCGGAAGTGAATATCAAATTCGTTCGAAACTCATCAAATATCATAGGAAAACTTATTTTTAATATCCAAAAAAAGAACGGTGCTTTTCTATAAATTTACCGAGTTTTCCATTATATTTTTTTTCCCTATGGTTCTTGTGATTCGAACGAATCTGACCTTGTTTCTGGTGCTCACCAAACCTAACCTCGTCAGCGCAGAAAGTGCCATAGAAGAATTTCGTCTTATTTTTGTTAGGTAATGTGGGTGCAAGCAATATAATGACGGAATTCGAAACCTGGCTACTATCCTAAATTGACCGTATGTTGTTCACTGCTTATAATTTATAACTAAAACTTTTCTAATTCATACCATTATTGCTCTATGTAGTCATACCTGGCGGTGCGTCGCGTTGCTTATGACTTCATTTATTTTCATATTTGAGTTGTGTTCACCGTGCGCCAACGGCCTAGACAATATCGGTTGTTGTTGTTTAGATTGTCGAACCGTAGTCCGACACGGGCCTTTGCCTGTAGGCGGGCGGCCAGTTAGGTGGTTCCGGCTAGAGCTCTTGGAGCAACAAGACGGGATTGGGGATTTGGGGATGAGAGGTGTCTGCAGGTTTGCAAGTGTGAGCGGACCCTCGGTCAGTGAGCGCTCACCACCAACCCCCACTCTTGGACGTGGTCAGTTTCGGAGTGGCGCGCCCCCCGAACCGGGGTCCGCTCGTCTGGTGACCAGAGTGGTGAAAGGACAGTGGACAATATCAAGGTTCCTTTAGTTGATATTTTGTAGCCAGAGGTCGGACAGTCGGGCGTAGGTGGAAGACTCAGTGTGGGATTCAGAATAATGAAGCGGGTTACCGGATTTTTGTTGGTGATTGTTCAGTCGGGGACAAAAGTTCGCTCCCCGCGGTGAAACTGTGTCACGGGAATAAGTTTCCGAACTGACTTACCCTGACTGTTTTTACCTCATTTGGGGTCGATGCTGCATCATTTTGGGCGGGAGCAAACCTTTGACCCCACAGTACATTGTCTGCATACCTATACGTATATCTTGTGGTGCCAATGTTGAAATTATGATAACTAATTGTATTAAGTCACTGGAGTTTGAAATTTGTATATTAATTTTCTGATTAATTATAACATTCCTAGGGTCAAAATTTTGCTTAAAATCTCGGTATAGGTAGTGTAGTCCTCGACGCCCAGATTAAGTATTTGTGGCCAAAAAGATGTAATTATGATAATTAACTTCATACTTATTAGGATAATTATCAAATTTTCATACTCCAAGGACAATTAATTTTCAAAATTCCAATATTTCGACCAGCATGTGGAGGACCATCTTTCCTGAGGTTTAAAGCAAAATTAATTTTTCGGCCCAAAACTCATTCAAGAGGTGTACTGTATATTGTTTGCATACCTGTACTGTCGATGTACATTGTATACCTACGTTGTCTGTGTAGTGTTTGTGTCTCCTCAAAGGACCAATCAATACACGGGGTGACCACATACGCGTGGATTCTGAGAAAGCACGGGGGGGGGTAATTATCCTTAGTTTACCTGGAAGAGGAGTACAGCAGCCTCGTGTAGTTTCTTCCTGTCGTGAGTGAAGTCACAGCGCGTCTCAGGGCAGCGGGAGGCCAGTAGGTCTATGGCTCCTGCCACCTTGGGCCACCACGCTTTGTCGAACCACGTTGTCCAGAAGAGCACCAGCTTGCGATCTCCTGATCCCTTGAGCTGCGGTCTGTGAGGTTTTACTATATCCCGCAGGTGCCGCAGGAGCGTGACTGAGAACCGCCTCTTGTTGATCGTCGGGAGACCCTCTGGCAGGTCCTCGTAGTAGTCGTAGTTGATGTGGTCATCATTTAGGTAGTCGTCCAGGGTCGTCTCCACCGCGAACCAGAATCTCTTAACCATGAGCAGCGACACAGGGACGATAACGTATAAGAATGCCAAGCACGTCCACAACATCACACGTCGCCTCATCGTCACCCGTTTCATATAGAGAGACGATGATGGAAGGGAAGCCACTCATGGTATCATCTGCCTGTTCATAGTCATGTGCCTGTATTACTTGTCATGATTAATCGCTCATGAACACTCGTATAACTCAACATGTGAACATACTTATGACTACACTTGTTCACCACGCCACCCTATGTTCATCACTACCATGTTCACTGCCATAACACCACACCATGTTCACTATTACAACACCATAGCATGTGTGTTCTTGTATAGAAAACTACTGCTATGTGTTGATAGGGTGTGGTGTTGGGGTACTGTGGGTAGGGTGTGGAGTTGGGGTACTGTGGACAGGGTGTGGTGTTGGGGTACTCTGGACAGGGTGTGGTGTTGGGGTACTGTGGACAGGATGTGGTTTTGGGGTACTGTGGACAGGGTGTGGGTTTGGAGTACTGTGGACAGGGTGTGGTGTTGGGGTACTGTGCAGGATGTGTGTGTTGGGGCACTGTGTGTGGCACTGTGGACAGGGTGTGGTGTTGGGGTACTGTGGACGGGTGTGGGTTTGGAGCGTGGACAGGATGGTGTTGGGGAGGACGGTGTGGTGTTGGGACACTGTGGACAGGGGTGTTGGGCACTGAGGACAGGGTGGTGTTGGGGTACTGTGGACAGGGTGTGGTGTTGGGTACTGTGACAGGGTGTGGTGTTACTGGACAGGGTGTGTGTGGCACTGTGACAGGGTGTGGTGTGGGGTACTGTGGACAGGGTGTGTGTTGGGGCACTGTGGGGGGTGTGGTGTTGGGGCACTGTGACAGGGGTGGTGACAGGTGTGGGGGAGTGTGGTGTTGGGGTACTGTGGACAGGGTGTGGTGTTGGGGTACTGTGAGGGGTGTGGTGTTGGGGTACTGTGGACAGGGTGTGGTGTTGGGGTACTGTGACAGGGGTGTGGTGTTGGGGTACTGTGGACAGGGTGTTGTTGGGGTACTGTGAGGGTGATGAGACTGTGACAGGTGTGGTGTTGAGACTGTGACGGGGTGGTGTTGGTACTGTGGGTAGGGTGTGTGGGGTACTGGGGGTAGGTGTTGGAGTACTGTGGACAGGGTGTGGTGTTGGGGGCACTGTGGACAGGGTGTGTGTTGGGGCACTGTGGACAGGGTATGGTGTTGGGAGTACTGTGGACAGGGGTGTGGGACTGTGAAGGTGTGGTGTTGGGATACTGTGGACAGGTGTTGGGGGCTGTGGACAGGGTGTGGTGTTGAGCACTGTGGACAGGGTGTGTTGAGACGGTGTGAGACTGTGACAGGGGTAGGGGTGTTGAGTACTGTGAGGGTGTGGTGTTGGGGCACTGTGGACAGGGGTGTGGTGTTGGGTACTGTGACGGGGTGTGGTGTTGGGGCACTGTGGACAGGGTGTGGTGTTGGGTACTGTGGACAGGGTATGTGTGTGACTGGGGTTGCACTGTGGACAGGGTGTGTGTTGGGGTACTGTGGACAGGTGTGTGGGGTACTGTGATGGGTGTGGTGTTGGGTACTGTGGATGGTGGGGATGACGGTGTGGTGTTGGGTACAGTTACAGGTGTGGGGTACTGTGAACAGGGTGGTGTTGGGACAGTGACAGGGTGTGGTGTTGGGGTACTGTGATGGGGTGTGGTGTTGGGGCACTGTGGACAGGGTGGTTTGGGGCACTGTGGACGGGGAGTGGGTGGGTGGGGTGACTGTGGACAGGGTGTGGTGTTGGGGCACTGTGACAGGGTGTGGTGTTGGGGGTACTGTGATGTGTGGTGTTGGGGACAGTGGTGTGGACTGGATGTGGTGTTGGGGCACTGTGGACAGGGTGTGGTGTTGGGGCACTGTGGACAGGGTGTTGTTAGTACTGTGGACAGGGGTGTGGGCACACAGGGTGTGGTGTTGGACGTGACAGGTTGGTGTAGGTGGACAGGGTGGTGTTGAGACTGTGGGTGTGTGTTGGGGTACTGTGGACAGGGTGTGGTGTTGGGGCACTGTGAGGGTGTGGTGTTGGGCACTGTGACGTGGGTGTGGTGTTGGGGCACTGTGACGGGTGTGGTGTTGGGGACTGTGGACGGGTTGGTTGGGGCACTGTGAGGGGAGTGAGGGTGTGTGTTGGGCACTGTGACAGGGTGTGGTGTTGGGGTACTGTGGAGGTGGGTGTGGACGTGACAGGGGTGTGTGTTGGGTACTGTGACAGGGTGTGGTGTTGGGGTACTGTGACAGGGTGTGGTGTTGGGGTACTGGACAGGGGTGTGGTGTTGGGGCACGTGGACAGGGTGTGTGGGGGCACTGTGGACAGGGGTGTGGTGTTGGGGCACTGTGGACAGGGGTGTGGTGTTGGGGTACTGTGGACAGGGGTGTGGTGTTGGGGTACTGTGAGAGGGTGTGGTGTTGGGGCACTGTGACAGGTGTGTGTGGGATACTGTGGACAGGGTGTGGTGTTGGGGCACTGTGGACAGGGTGTGGTGTTGGGGCACTGTGGACAGGGTGTGGTGTTGGGGTACTGTGGACAGGGTGTGGTGTTGGGTACTGTGACAGGGGTGTGGTGTTGGGGTACTGTGAAGGGTGTGGTGTTGGGGCACTGACAGGTGTGGTGTTGGTCGTGGACAGGGTGTGGTGTTGGGGCACTGTGGACAGGGTGGTGTTGGGGCACTGTGATGGTGGGTGTGGTGTTGTGGGCACTGTGATGGTGGGTGTGGTGTTGGGGCACTGTGACAGGTGTGGTGTTGGGGTACTGTGGACAGGGGTGTGGTGTTGGGGTACTGTGACAGGGTGTGGTGTTGGGGCACTGTGGACAGGGTGTGGTGTTGGGGTACTGTGACAGGGTGTGGTGTTGGGGTACTGTGGACAGGGTGTGGTGTTGGGGCACTGTGGACAGGGTGGTGTTGGGGCACTGTGGACAGGGTGTGGTGTTGGGGCACTGTGGACAGGGTGTGGTGTTGGGGCACTGTGGACAGGGTGTGGGTTGGGGCACTGTGGACAGGGTGTGGTGTTGGGGCACTGTGAGGGTGTGGTGTTGGGGCACTGTGACAGGGTGTGGGATGTGACAGGGTGTGGTGTTGTACTGTGGGGTGTGTGGTGTTGGGGCACTGTGGACAGGGTGTGGTATTGGGGCACTGTGGACAGGGTGTGTGTTGGGAGACTGTGACAGGGGTGTGGTGTTGGGGCACTGTGGACAGTGTGTTGGGGTACTGTGAGGTGGGGGTGTGGTGTTGGGGTACCAGGACGGTGTGGTGTTGGGGTACTGTGACAGGGGTGTGGTGTTGAGCACTGTACAGGTGTGGTGTTGGGGCATGTGGATGGTGTGGTGTTGGGGTACTGTGGCAGGGTGTGGTGTTGGAGTACTGTGGAGAGGGTGTGGTGTTGGGGCACTGTGGACAGGGTGTGGTGTTGGGGCACTGTGGATAGGGTGTGGTGTTGGGGTACTGTGACAGGGGTGTGGTGTTGGAGTACTGTGGACAGGGTGTGGTGTTGGGGTACGTGGATGTGTGTTGGGGTACTGTGACAGGGGTGTGGTGTTGGGGCACTGTGGACAGGGTGTGGTGTTGGGGCATCTGGACAGGGGTGGTGTTGGGGTACTGTGACAGGTGTGGTGTTGGGGTACTGTGGACAGGGTGTGGTGTTGACTGTGGGGGGGGCACTGTGGACAGGATGTGCTGGTGCACTGTGGACAGGGTGTGGTGTTGGGTCAGCTTACAGGGTGTGGTGTTGGGGTACTGTGAGACAGTGTGGTGTTGGGGTACTGTGACAGGGGTGTGGTGTTGGGGTACTGTGGACAGGTGTGGTGTTGGGGTACTGTGGGTAGGGTGTGGTGTTGGGGTACTGTGGACAAGGTGTGGTTTTGGGGTACTGTGTAGGGTGTGGTGCTGTGGTACTGTGAACAGGGTGTGGTGTTGACAGTTTACAGGGTGTGGTGTTGGGTGCTGTGGACAGGGTGTGGTGTTGGGGTACTGTGGACAGGTGTAGGTTTAGGGTACTGTGACGGTGTTTCGGGTACTGTGGACAGGGTGGTGTTGGGATGCTGTGGACAGGTGTGTGTTGGGGTACTGTGGATGGGATGTGGTGTTGGGGTACTGTGACAGGATGTGGTGCTGTGGTACTGTGAACAGGGTGTGGTGTTGGCAGCAGTTTTACAGGGGTGTGGTGTTGGGGGTGCTGTGGACAGGTGTGTGGTGCTGTGGTACTGTGAACAGGGTGTGGTGTTGTTACAGTTTACAGGGTGTGGTGTTGGGGTGCTGTGGACAGGGTGTGGTGTTGGGGCACTGTGGACAGGGTGTAGGTTTTGGGGTACTGTGACGGTGTGGTGTTCGGGTACTGTGACAGGGGTGTGGTGTTGGGATGCTGTGGACAGGGTGGTGGTGTTGGGGGTACGTGGACAGGATGTGGTGTTGGGGTACTGGACAGATGTGGTGTTGGGGTACTGTGGACAGGTGTGTGGTGTTGAGTACTGTGGGTAGGGTGTGGTGTTGGAGCACTGTGACAGGTGTGGTGTTGGGATGCTGTGGACAGGGTGTGGTGTTGGGGTACTGTGGACAGGGTGTGGTGTTGGGGTACTGTGGACAGGGTGTGGTGTTGGGGCACTGTGAACAGGGTGTGGTGTTGGGGTACTGTGTGGAACTCCCTGCCACATAGTGTGTTTTCCTGCATCATATACCCAGCCTCAGGTGTAATGGATCACCTCACATTAATTAAGGCTTGCATAGACATCACCAAGATAACTGTAGTTGCTTATTGAGTGTGTGTGTGTGTGTTCGAATTGTGCGTTTTTCATGTGTATTTACCTGTCTGTATTGTGTATAAATGTGTATGAATCTCTCTCTCTCTCTCTCTCTCGGCCAGAAGCCAACACGTTGTCGCCAGCATCGGTGTGAGGAAATGTGTGGTGACGTCACGCGGTCGATGAATGACGTCAAACACTGCAGTTTGTTGGACAGGGGGAGTCGACTAGGCTGATATCTTGTTGTCTCTCTCTCTCTCTCTTTATCATTATCTTTCATCATTTCATTCTCTCCTTTCTATCTATCTATCCATCCGACTTGCATATCCCGTGTAAAAAAGAATTGTCAACAAGAGATACACCGATCAAGTTTCTATGGTTAGTTGCACTGGTATTGAAGGATGGGACGATTGACTTGATTGTGTGCGCTTGTGTGACTTCATTTGCTATTGTTTGGTCTGTGTATGCTATTGTATGACTCTTGTTTGATCGTGTATAGGTGTATTAGATGGGCGCGCGAAATGTGAGTGTGTATTTTTTTTGCGTTTTTCTCGTGTTTACAAATGGTACGCGTTCGTGGATTCAACTTGTGGTAGGAATCCGCATTTATGTCAACAATAACAACAAATATGTCGTCGATGTGAAAATTTTGTGGTTTATTTTTCTTTTTTTTTCTTATTTAAACTCATTTTTTCTTGTCTCCTCTCAGGTCTATTGTTTTTTTGGCTCATTATTTATTCCGTTTCTGTCACTGAACTCTGTCAAATTCCTAATCTCACTGTGATATATTATTGTCCCTTAACGACCGATAGTCAACCACCACTGGATCTTGTCTTAACTACCACACCACCGTCTTAAAACACTGAATAATCATCTCAGCTCGCTTAAAAGAACCATAACTCTGATCACTAATCTAATTTTCTTTTCTATATTCGGAACTAAAGGTAGTCACAAATCTCATCTGTCACACCTTTTGGGATCACTCCAGTTCACTACTTATCTCACTACTGCCCAGACCTTCTCTCACACAGTCGCTGGTTCGTGTGTGCTCTTGTATTTTGATAAATTTTCACTGTGTTTCGTCCTTTGTCGTACAGCTGTGGCGAAGTTATCGATTGTTGAGCTTTACCATGTGTCTGGACTGCGGCAAAGTGGTAGTGGTGGTGGTTGGTGTTGTGGTAGTAGTGGTTGGTGTTGTGGTAGTGTTTGTTTTGATGGTGTGAATGTCGATGGTAGTTATGGTGATAATGGGAGTGTTGATAATAGTGGTGGGGATAGCGGTAGTAGTGGTTGTTGTGGTAGCAGTAGTTGTGGTGGTTGTTGTTGTGATAGTGAGGGCGGTGGTAGCTGTTGTTGTGATACTGCTGTTGATGGTGGTAGTGGCTGTGGTGATTGTTGTGATAGTGATGGTGGTATTTATTGTTTTGGTGGTGGTGGTAGTTGTGGTGATCATTGTGATGACTGGTGGTGGTGATAGTTGTTGTGGTGGTAGGGTTTTACTACGATTGTTGTTGTGGTTGTTGCTCCCCCTCCCTTTCGTTTCCTCCCCACACCCTAACCCCCACCCTCCCACCTCCTCCCTCGCCTCCCACTCCCTCCTGCTTCCCACTCCCTCCCTCTCCCCCACTCCTCCCCTTCCCTCTACTCCTCCCTCTCCCACTCCCCTCTCTCTCCCCACTACCCCCACTCCTACCCCTAAACACCATTATTATTTAAGACACAGAACGTTGTTTTTCGTATCACTGAGAATCGCGTGTTAGCGTGTCGGAGGGAGGGGAGGGAGGAGGTGAAAAAGAGGAGAGAGAGGGAGGGAGGGAATGGAGGGCAGAGGACGGAGGGGAGGGAGAAAAGGGAGTTAAGGTAGGAGGAAGGAAGGTAGAAGGGAAAGGGAGGAGGTGGGAAGGTAAGACGAGGGAGGGGTAGGTGGGCGAATAGGAAGGGGGGAGCTATGCGTGTAGCTGCGGTAGGGAGGCAGTGTGTGTGTGTGTGATCAATAAAATGTAATGCACTTAAATTAGGTTAGTGACACAGGTGTTGGTGGGGCTACAGGTATAGCTCACGCACCTATGACTTATTACAAACATAACCAGGTAATGAATATTAGATGTTTAAAAGTATAATAATATCCTAAATAGATATAAACGTCAGAATATAAACAAGTATAAATCCCTGTATCCTCCTCAAGCCTAGCAAGTCTGAAGCGCTCTCACAACACCGACGCTCATTTGTTTTCTCTCATCATCCCCCGCCTCTCCCCCAACAGTCCTTCTTCTCTCACTATATCAGCTTCTCTTCGCCCCGTTAGAGTTGTATATCGATGAAAACTGCGACAGAGAGATAGGAAGTTTATGTATTAAAGATCTGAGTATCTTTTCAGCTTTATTGTTGGGATGTTTTGTTATAGGAAGGAAGATTTTCTGGGGACGTTGGGACAATCGTATCGGAAAGTGACGTGTGTGTGTGTGTGTGTGACGTGTGTGTGTGTGTGTGTGTGACGTGTGTGTGTGTGTGTGTGTGTGCAAATTCATTATCATGTTGCCATCGAGTGATCATTGTTTATTATTACACACGGGATATAACTACACGCTAATTGGCATATAAGATGATAATAATAATAAAGCACACACACACACACACACACACACACACACACACACATGCGCGTGCTCACACATCCACCCACCCACCCACGCACACACACACACACACACACACACACACACACACACACACACACACACCCATTCCCCAAATATGTAACTGTATATTTTCAGCCTTCTTGCCAAGCTCTTTCAATAAACCGTTAATTATATTATATTATTATTATTAAACACACACACACACACACACGCGCGTGCTCACACACATCCACCCACCCACCCACGCACACACACACACACACACACACACACACACACACACACACACACACACACACACACACACACACACACACACACAGATCCTAAATTCACCACCAAACTTCCTCTACACAACCTCAGGTGGATGTTTACCAGATATTGATATATGGGTCATGGGAATTTTGTCCAACTGTACACACACACACCCACACACACACCCACACACACACACACACACACACACACACACCCACCACACACCCACCCACACACACACACCCACCACACACCCAACACCCACCACACACCCACACCCACCCACAACACACACACACACACACACACACACACGTCCTAAGTGATGGGGAATATTCATCGTAGGAGTCTCTGTGTTTGAAGGACGACGTAGGACTCCTGAAGGACTCAAAGGATCTGTTGTATGAGATTGAGTGTGTGTGTGTTTACAAGTACTTAATGGGAATAAATTCATATATGGCTAAATTATGCTAAAAGTAGGTTAGGTTAGGTTGGGCTAGGTTAGGTTAGGTTAGGTTAGGTTAAGTTAAGTTAAGTTTGGTTTTGTGTGAAGCTATTCATTTATCATAATAATTTTCGTAAACATTTATGGCCAGTGAGAAGAAAAAAGGAAGATAAATACATAGGAGAAGAAGAAGAAATAAGTAGAGGAACGCGAGAAAACCAAAGAAGAATTACCTCGGAAGACCACTGTCGGAAACAGCCAATCAGACAGCAGTAATTCCCTTGTAGGAAACTAATCTTTTTTCTTAATGGCCGAGAGAAGAAGAATACACAGACCGTCGCCTTTAAGAGATTCACCTGTCACGGTTTTATCTTTGTCCCGGGTTTATTTTGGATGGTTTTTTCGGGACTTTATTTTGAAAGGGTTTATTTACAAGGAAGTACTCTCTCCCTCCCCCCCTCCCCTCCTCTCTCAACACATACAAGGAAGTACTGTCTCTCTCTCTCTCTCTCTCTCTCTCTCTCTCTCTCTCTCTCTCTCTCTCTAGGGAATAGTCTAGTAGGAGAATGGTCGAATTCGGAAAAATTCTTATAAAAATTATTTTGATGTTATTGGCCGTAAAATTATGTCCTAAATCATAAATTTAAAATCCTCATCAATTTACTTTATAGTTGGTTTTTTTTTTTTTTGTTACAAGGATTTAAAATGAGACCCTTTCAAGGCTATTTAGTTTTATTTTCGGTCAAATGAATTAGGGGAATGACATTGTCTTTATGCAGTTTTTATATCTCCAGAACATCAGTTTTGACATCAATGACCATGACAAGTTCAGTGTTGTTGCATGCTTTACCTCGACACCCTGCACACCATCACACATTTTAAACCATTGTTGTGACATGAACACTGATTTGTGCCACGTGGATTTTTTTCCTGTTTGCTTGCACTTGCACCGTATAAATTTGAGGGTTTTTGATGGTGCTGCTTCTTTATCAGTCATGATGGGTTGAAGGGATCCAGTGACTTCCTTCCAGCCCCATTTGCAGCATTTAAAGCTGTCATTGCCGAGATCTGACAACCTGGAGGTGAACGTTCAAGCTTGGTCTTCAGTGTCATTTATCTGGTCCACCTCAGAGTAGTGTGTGTGTCCTTCCTACTTCCTCCATAAAGTAAGCAAAAAACACGAATTCCAGCATCACCAACTTCTACTGTTGTCTTGTCTCGCATGCTGATGGTGGTTGACAAAACCTTTACGTCTGTGGACTTCTACAGCTGTTTCATTAGGTATGTCTTTCCATGACCATATGTTGCTGACGTAGTGTCGCAGCCACTCCAAGCATGGATGAATAAGATGTGTTTCTGAATCTCCACAGGCACCCTGCCGTAAGCTTCTCTCATGGTGTACATTTGTCCTTTCTTTCAGTGTCTGCTCTCCTTCCATGCAAATATCCCAGTGATAAAGCAACATGATGAATACGTCAGCGTCTTCTGCAACAACAATACCGGGTTGTCCATTACGGGCCAATTCCAATGCTGATGACACGATTAGTGTGTCGGCATCTCCACTGTTTACATTAGCGCTATGGTCCTGGAGCTGAAGGTGCTTTGCAAGGAGGTTGATGAACTGTATCTTGTTCCTTTCATTGAACCGAAATGCTTCTTGGTCTTCGTAAACCTTAGCAGTATTTGCTATCAAAATATCGGCTGAGTCTCTTAACACACTGTCGACATTTGTGTTCGTGGTCCTTAATTGAGAGCTTTCCGTATCCACCAAACACAATGCAGCACATACCATATCTGTTCTCCAGAAAGGAACTGTACTGTTTCAAAACTTGTGGTGTATGTTACATTCTTTCTCCATGTTATGTGGTGCAGCAGCCAGCCACGATCAACCACAAGTGTCCCCTGCTGCAACTGTTGAGCTTCAGCCTTAGGATGAAGTTTATCAAGTCCATTTGGATTGTTCTCGCCAGTTCAGACTTGTCTTTCTCATAAAATGATCCTTGAAGAGAGATAGGAATTGCTGTCATCTCGTATGCAATATCATCATCCTGTCATTGTGTTAATGCAGTACATCGCATGAATACAACTGATGGGTCGATTTGAACCACCACCTGCTTGTCTACTTTTGTTCCCGGTTTCAAGTCATTAAGTGTACACACCATCCGAGACCTCTTGATGGTTACGCAGTATCTCATCTCAAGGCCCACCCTCTCAGTTCCATCACGGTTGATACCATCGCCTTCGGTAGCTGTCAAACCACTAGCCAGAGATCCAAGTTCAGGAACTCCACTATCAAATGGATTGTGCGTCTGGAAGCCAGCCATGATTTTTTTCATATATCTCATATCCCGTTCCTGTCTTGCTATCCCAAATCCCTTATGCTGACAGCTTGTAGCGTGTTGTCTGCCCACATTGCATTGTGAGCTACTGCACAAGCGTTGCCGAACACTTTGTCATGCAGCGACCTCAAGTGAGGCCCCCACGGCTTTTCAAAGACCTCATCATGACTTGTTCGATCACATGGTCAGTCTAAAGTCCAGCTCAAAGTCTCTCACTCCTTCACACTGTATGATAACCTTCCTCGACGAATTACTTATGCAGCCATGGATGAGAACAAGGCAGCTTCCACATCATTTAGAGATAGAGACGAGCACTTTTAGCATAGTTGATATGCCCTGTTGCAGCAAAGATTGATCAGGTTGCCCACGTCAACCAAATGATCCTCCCAGAGTCCTAGTCTCTCATAGCTGATGAAGTCA